AGACCGTCCTTTCCCCAATCCCAATTTTGGCCTTGTGCCACATTTCTGTGTAGATATCAGAATAAATATCGCTCTTTCTAGACTGCGTGAAATTAAGCGCAATACTAGAATGGCGTCAATTTACAATTAAGCCAGTTTGATGTAGGTGTAACTTCTACGTTAACAGTTTCTTTTCTTGCACTTTTCTCTTGTGGGACTCCCTTTCGGCAACAGGCATTCCGGCCAACTTTAATCTGCAAGAATTTAAATGCAATGCCAATCGCTATCTATTGTCCTCCAGCTTGTTTTTTTCTCTTTCAACTCATTATTAATGTTTCTGTTTCTAATTCTTCCACACCCTGTAACTCCTTGCGTGTTAGTGACCTGTACCGCCTTGCTTCGAGTGACACTGATTTAAAAAAAAAAGAAAAAAGTTTTTCATAATGGACCCAAATTATAAATTAAGCATACCATACGAAATCGCTTGTGGCAGTGGTTGTGGTGGGGTCGTAACAAATTTCATTTAACAAAAAGAGATTAAATATAACGGAAACGATTTATCTGTGAAAGAACAATATGAATAAAGACAAAAGGAAAACATATCTTAACCAACGCGTTTCGTCCTTTGATAGACTGTATCAAGTCAAATGGAAGGATTTATTTTGCAAGAAGTATTTATAAACAGAAATAAGAAAAGGTCGTTTTTTTTAATTTTTTTTAAAGAATTTTTAAATTGACAAACGTTTATAAATATACATTAGGGTAACTCAGTGGTTTCCAACCGATTTAGGGCCATGCCCCGTTTTGGTATTTTTAAAATTCTGGTGCCCCCTCCCCTTCCCTGTAAAATTTATTCTTACATATTTCATTCTTTTACTGCAATTCACGTGAAGGAGGCTTAAAAGGCCATTAAAGAGAAAAATTAAAAAATAAATTAAAAAATAAAAGACAGTTAAATATATATATATATATATATATATATATATATATATATATATATATATATATATATTTTAAAAACATATAATAGAGAACTGAAAGGTAGAAATATAAAATATTTGAATGAAAGCTTATTCTGTAATATACTTTTTAATCATGAAATAATAATTCAAAATGAAATTTGTGCTCACAAGAAAACAATTCACTGTTAATAACTCATTCTCGAAATGCCCCCCTTATTCTGTTGGTATTATAGTAAGCTGAAGGGTGCACATCCTACACATGACCCACCAAAATATTACCATGCCCCACTGGTGGGGCATACGCCCCACATTGGATATCATTGGGCTAACTGATGGTCAAGCTAATGGTGTAATTTCATGTTTAATAAAACGAAATCGATTAAATGTTGTTAGTGCTGCTGAATTTGACTTTTCTCAAAGAAATACGCGTTTCCCAACCAAATATAAATGGTCATAATTTTGAAAAGAAATTAAACCTATTATTTAAAATATATTTAAAATATAAGTATATTTAAATATAATATAATATAATAATATAATACAATATAATATAATATACGTATATTTAAAATATACATAAATTAATGTCAAACTAAAATAATATTAATAATTATTGCATTATAAAAAAATCAACAACAATAACAACATTTATGCACGTTCGTTTATTTGACATTAAATTACATCACTTAGCATCCTCCATAATTTGTCTTGACCTGTATTCCTTATTTCATCAGGGAAACCACTTTTTGGCTAAGCGTGTCTCAGCAATTAGGCTACCAGAAGTCATCACAGCGATGCAAGGCTCAATTATCCTATTTAAGAAAATCACATCTCTGTTATCTGCTAAGTTACACACACACATATATATATATATGTCCATCGTATTTGTCATATTGAACTGAATTGTATTTTAATGAATATTGTCTTGAAAAAGGTTTATTAAACCGAAACGTCAGACGTCGACATTTCATTCATTTTAACTACATTTAAGGATTTTTGTTTGTTTTTTCAAAATTTTTCTTCATATATATGTATATATATATTAAAGAATTAATGAATTTATTTTTAATTTGACATTTTTAGAACTTCAAACGTTATAATAGTGGATGCTTGTGTTTGAAACAGACGCCCTATTTGTACTATTTTGTGTGTATTTAGACGTAATGCACTCTGATCAAAGTGAAAATTTTAAAAAAATGGGACGTCTACTTAAAATACGTGTATCCACTATAATAAAGTTTGAGGTAATATGTATATACAGGGTGCGATGTATAAATTTTCTTCTAAATTACGCAAAAATGAAAATAACACCAACTCATTTTAATAGATATATTTACCAAAATTGCACAAAAATATCTTGAAATACTAAACAGTAAGTTTATTCAATAAAATTGCCATTGCCTTCAATCACAACCGCCAGACGACTTCAGAATCTCATGAAACTCTTCTAGACGGTCTCCTTGTTTAAGTTGGTGAATGCTGCCATAATCCTTGCTTTCAGTTAATCTTTGGTGTTACAAGGGGCTTTGTTGGTCTCTTCCTCAACTGTGCCCCACACATCAAGGGGGTTGTAGTCTTGGGAGTTAGGTGGCCAGATGAAAGGGGTGATGAGGTCGCAGAAATTGTCTGACAGCCATGACTGTGTTCTCCTGATCGTACGTCATGATGCAGAGTCCTGTTGCCAGACATATGGTCTTCCAGCGGCCACCCTCTTGACCACGATGTAGGCCTCTGTGTTGAGTGTGAGGACGTGTGAGAAGATGAATGGAGGTATAACTTCGCCATCACTAGTGATCTTCCCAAACACAATCGTAAACAACGTTAGACTCATCCAACTCTTTCCAAATTCTTTGCCCTGTCCTCAGATTGACGTCCAAACACTCTGAAATGTTCGTATTGGAGATTCCAGCATGAATGCCAAGAATTACAGTATGCCGTTTCCAAATTTCTGGCGCAGTGAATTGCGTCATAATTCTCTTTTTCTCACAGACGGTGCCCAACTGGCCCTACTATATTGTGCAATCGAGAAAATAAAAACAAACAATGCGCATGCGCAAAATTTAAAATTAAATGGTGACTATTTACCTATCGCCCCTATATATATATATATATATATATATATATATATATATATATATATGATAATAGTTTTAACACACAGAGGCGACAATCTGTTTCTTGCTAATCACAATCTTCAAGCCATATATATATGGATTATCCTTACCACTGACGAATTTGATATTATATATATATATATATATATATATATATATATATATATATATAATAACAACGTTAAACATAAAAAAATGTCTTTAATAAATATATATATATATATATATATATATATATATATAAAGTAAATGCTCTGTTTATAGTAAAGAAGATTAATAACATTTACCAGCCTGAATGTCCGAGAAATTTTCATCGGAAATATTCGTCCTCTGACAGGAATCGAACCTGTATCCTATACGGAACCGTCATATAGCCTGACGTGCCTTAACCGATCGATTAGCAAAGTCGATTTTACTGTTTTTAAACTGCAACCTTCCATGAATCTCACTCGTACATTCATATCTGCTCAAAGCGTATCCAAATGTAAACAAATGACGTCAGATATTATGAAATGGAGCATTTACTTTAATATTTGTATATATAAAAAATGTATAAACATAAAAATGTCTTAAAATAATTGTCGGACTTTGTCCATTTCATTATATATATATATATATATATATATATATATATATATATAATAATAATAATAATAATAATAATAATAATAATAATAATAAAAAGGCTTAAACTAATATAAAGGAATGCTGAAAAGTTATAAGTTCGACCCTCTTCCAGGCGATTTGCGTAGGATATTGATAAGCGAATCTTGACTGATTAATAATTACTAATGAATTCGATTCTAACTGGGTGCCCCCATACAGCAATTCGATATCAAATAACCGGAAAAGGATTAATGTGTCGTATAAATCAAAATGTAATCTTTATCACTCTGTATGTGACTTTATTTTCTGTACAAAAAGTTTATCCTGCCACTGAACTTAGCTCTGATCCCTGAAGAATAGTGCTATTGAATTTCATAGTTGTGTTGTCATATCCAGCTATGGTAACAGAAAACAACCTTTGAGAAATAAGGATACTGCGATTGCGACGCCTTCAAAAAGAATGAAATGCAAAGAGATGTAATATTAATAATGCCGGGTGCTAAATGTTAATTTTGGTATCCCTTGGGGTTCTGAATGAGGAATTTTTCTTCACCCCATCGCATAAAATTGCACTGATCCAAATTGCTTGGAGGATTTAAAATGAAGCTATAATAAATATTTAGAAATAGGGAGCTATGTTTTTAATTAGACCCTAGAATTACTTTAATTTGGGATTATTTTAATTTTAATATCATTTAAAATATAAATTCATTTTTAATTAAACTTAAATCCATATTCAAATTTAATTTAAATTTTTTTTAATTAAATTTACATCTATATTTAGAATTTAATTTTCGATTATTAAATTTAAATTTTTTCCAAAATTTCAAATTTCAATTTTTAAATTAAAATATAATTTTAAATTTTATAATTTTAAAAATTTTTACAATTTTTTTAAAAGATCTAAATTTTATATATGTTAATTTAAAAACACTACATTTTAAAATTTAAATTTTAAATTAAAATGTAATTTTAAATTTTATATTTTTAAAAATTTTTTTTAAAGTTCTAAATTTTAAATACGTAATTTAAAAAAAAAAAACGAAATTTTAAAATTAAAATTTAAGTTTCATTTTTACGATTGCAGAGAAAAAAAATCACATTTTGTGAGTTATTTCGTATTATCCAAGTAAAACAACGATTGTGACTATATTGATGATGATGATGACGACGACGACGATGATGATGATGATGATGATGATAGTGGTGGTGGTGACTCTCATGATGACAATAACAATGACAGGTCAATGGTCACATCGATACGATGAATCATCCTCTTGAAGGTGAACGAATCCCGAAGCTAATGTCGTGTCGTGTTTGCAGCGTCAATTCGTTTCCGCTAAGAAGTGAGATCTTCTTTGCGCTCGTAAAGTTTGGCTCTTGGTATTCGACCATAACTAGAGACAAAAAAAAAAGAAGATAAATAGATAAATAAATAAATAAAGATTGAGTGATATCCTGTCATGCCACGCACACACACACACACACGCAGACGCACACGCACATACACACACACACATTCCACCTTTGGTAAGATTTTAATTTTTATTACGTGTCATAAAAAACTGGTTTGACAAAAGCTCGTGACTTGTCATAGAGCTAGCAGCGGTATGGGAAAACAAAGAAATAAACAACTCACTTTAGATGTACGTAAAATAGGTGAACGCGAAAAACAGAGAGAAAGAACAAGATTTTCATATTCCAAATTGTCTGGGACGAACAAAGATATCTTAATTGCAAATCGTATGTTTTAAAAAAAGGGGACAAAGTGTGTATTTTTCAAAATGTCGGCTCGGACAAAGGAAGATGTCCTAATTCCAAATCGTACATGTTAAAAAAAAGGGACAAAGTTTCCATATATTAAATTGTCTGGGACGAACAAAGATATCTTAATTGCAAATCGTATGTTCAAATTGTCAGCTCGAACAAAGATGTCCTAATTTCAAATTGTATGCTCTAAAAAAGATATTTTTATAAAATTCTAAATAAAAAAATTGTTTTTATAGTTTATTCATAAAATCGTAAATAATAAATATTACATTAAACTTGGATTACATATTTTGATATTTTTTTTATAAATCTTTAATAAAAAAGATTTCTTCTCAAATTTATTTCTTTAATTTATTTATTTCCATAAATAAAGATTTCTTGTTTAGCAATTATAAATGGGTAAACAATAAATCTTTATTATTGGTGAATAATAAATATCACATTGTACTTGATTCACATATTTTTTATAATCGTGTAAATAAACATTGCCGAAGGAGTCAAAAGTGTATTTAGTAATAGCGGGAATAAGAAATGGCTGGTAAACTTTAATGCCTCAAGAACAAAACTGCTCTCTTTTACCCACCACTTAGAACCCTCCCAGCCTCCCATGAGAATGTCTGATGCTCAACTCCATGAGAGCACCTCTTTGCGACTGCTTGGTCTCACACTGTCTGCTGACCTAAGATGGAACAAATACATTGAATCAATAGCATCATCTATTGCAAGGAAAGTTGGTTCTCTGTGTAGAGAAAATCCAGAGATGGACATGCAATGTGATGGGTCCTGATCTGGCATCTCATCTACAGTCACTTTCTCAGAGACGTGCAGTCACTTCCCTCTGTCTTTTCTACAAATACTTTCGCGGTAACTGCTCCAACGAGCTACTTTCGCTGTTTCCCAAACTGCGTGAATTTAAACTTGCTACAAGCTTGGCCTCACAGTCTCACACTTTCACTGTCGAAGCGGTTAAATGTAGTCGTCTCTTCTATTTCAATAGCTTCATGTCTCGCACTTCCCGTGTGTGAAACTCCTTTCCTCTTACTTTCTTCCCTAATAGCTATAATCTTCAATTATTCAAATGCAATGCCAATCAACATCTTCAGATGGCTTGATGTAATTCCCCGTCCTTCTCTTCATCCTTTCCTCTATCACGCCTCTTTACTCTTGCTCTCACTCTCTGTGACCCATTGCGTGCTTGTGGTACTCCCGCCTTGCTTGGGGTGAAATGCTTAAAAAATAGATAAATAAAAAATAACGTCCTTTAGGTTCACTGTTTTTGTGCGGGCACGAATTTTAAACATTACTGAAGGTTGGTTCTTTTATAGATCAACAACAGCCGCATTTGGTAAAAGTTATTCGCTAACGCGAAAAATGATCAATACATTTAATAGACCTAAAAAGTCCAGCGTAGAAAGAAGTAAACATGGATTAAAAATCAAATAAAGCATACCAATGAAATGTTATCGTGGTACAGACTAAATCTCTCATACGTAAAATTATTGTTTATTCTACTTTAGACTCCGTCAAATAATATCGGCTGGTCGGTAGGTGGCATTTGCAGTTTTCTCCGAATGTGGATTCTTCTTGCGAAAATGTGAGATACGGGTCTTTTTCTTCTTGAGTGCGTATCTTCCATTTATCGTTTGACCTGCGTGTGCATATTCTAAGAGCAACTGGGTTGACCACTTGTTTACACGTCAGGAGAAGTAAGTGGCTATGAGATCACCTTCGAGGTCAACCCTCTGATGCACCTGACTTCTCAGAGGCTCTGGTGTAACACTAATGTTAAATTTAATTTAGTATCATCTGGGCTGGGGTAGATACTGGAGCCAGTGAAAATCAACGTCTCTTAGAAGAAAGGTTCCTCATTAGCATTAAATTCAATTCATATAATGTTGTGGTCTGTTTAGGGGCCAGAAAGAAAGACAGAAGATGAAGGTAGGTTGAACAAGTATATTGAAGATATATACAAAGCAAGAGTGTTAGGGATAAGTAGATAGCAGTGTACGTCCGAACAGCAGGTTAGCACTGTGTCTACCTCAATCCCCAACCGACTCTTGCAGTTAGTATTTATGAGAGGAGGAAGAGTTCATTCTATTGTAGGAGGGTTTACCACAACATACTATATGGTATTTTCTGGGGTGAATTCCAAGATGAACACAAAAGCTGTTAAATGACAAAAGTGTGGCTGGACAGAACACATAGCAAAAAGAAAGGATTATAGATGGAGCAGGTGTTGGTCTGTTGGTGTCCAATGGATGGTAAACGAAGTAAGAACAAAAAGACAGTGAGATAGTAAGAGATGGCAGACTCACTTTTTTTAAAAAATTATGTTTTTCAAAAAAAAAATAAAACATGAATACGAAAGAGCTTGACTTGAATTTCAGGTTCTTGGATTTTATATTGATTTTATATTGATTTTATATTGATTTTCTTGATCCTAGAGTCATGGTAGTAACAGAAAGATTTGGGAAACGACTTTGTCCAGTCGAGGATTGGCTTATGATGAATATAGTATTTCGTAGGTATTTTTTTTTTCATTTTATTATCTTGCTGTTTAACTTCTCAACTTACCGTGCGTAATCATAGTTGTCGTGTGCCCGGAGACTAACTGTTGCCCATCGAAGGTCTTTGTTTCCTATTGCACTTCTGAAAAACGAAAAAAATGATACAAAAATCTCCATAGTACATTAATCTTATAGCTATTTTATATTAAAGGCCTATTCATTTCATTATTACTGTACACAGATATAAATTAAAATTGTGTTAATGATACAAAAACAATATCAAAACTAGTTCTGGAATAAAAAAAATATGACCTGAAACAAAATAAACATGAAAGTAATCTATTTTATTTTATATTTGTTGTAGCATACCAACAGATGATAATGGGTTATGTCACCATTCATATAAATACAGTATTAAATACTGTATGTTTGTCTGCAGTCGGAGATTCGTCTCCAGCTGTACTGGTCAAACTCTCTGTCTCCGGTCAGAGAAGATCTCCAGACAAGGGTAGAGTCACGTCTCGGGAAACAGCTACCCAACCCCGTTTTATACGGGGTCTACGGAGAATTTTTGGCCGAGCCTAAGTGCCCGGATAACCCATATTAAATTTAGCCTTGCGCCACTGCATGATGGTCCTTCCTTGTTGTGGTGAAGGGGATTGTGTGGTCCTGAAAGCGATACCATCGGGAATTCTAAATTCCTGGTAGGGTCATCATTGAATGGTGATGGATAAGTTCTTGGGGTGATTGAGTAAATTGTAATGAATGAATGGGTTGTGAATCTGATTAACTCGGTTAATGTCGACCAGCCTCTCCACATTTCCTCATCGGCCTTGTTCCAGAATTGTTCATTTTGTAATAATAAATATATATTTCTACCTAGATTCGAACCAGCAGTAACACTAGTGTAAACCGGATTAATATCTACCTTTTTTGCCTCTTGTATAAACCGCACATGACTGAGGCGTTAGAACGTTGGTTAAATCCGGGTTCGAATCTCACCATGATCGAGTTGTCAGCAAGGATACTTCCTGATGTTATCGGAATGGAGGGGTCGAAAACCATACCACGGGTTGACCTAAGCCTTGTGAGTGAAATTTAGTAGACGGAACATTTGGGACCATCAATAGCTGTCATCATAGCCGGGGGCTTGAGCGTGCTGGCCTTGTTCAAATTGTTGATTACGCTAGATAACACGCTCTTCCCAGAAACTGTAACTACGGTCTGCTCAGCATAGTTGCAGTGTAAACCACAAGTGGTCTCTGTGGGTGTTGTATGAACACAAATGCGCCTGAGCAAGCGTCTGCAATAGGGATTGGCTAGCCGCCCTAGTAGACGGGTATCCTCGAAAACAAGTGGCCAGCTATAGATATACATAAACCGATTCTGTATCTAGAGTTTTAACACTTGTGCAATGTGGACCAATGTCTTTTTGACTTTAATATAAACTGGACCAGTGTTTACCTTATCGAGAAAACAGGTCATTTCTTACCATGTTTGTCAATGCTTCCGGCTGCATCACGTTGAGACACAGGTTCTTGTACAATCAGCGAAGTTAAGCAAAGTTGATTCTGATCAGTACATAGATGAGTGACCGCTTGGGAATACCAGGTGTTGTAAGCTCAGAGAGCTGATTTCTAATTCCAATTGTATTCGTTATATTCACTTACATGCAAATAACCTCAGGAAAGTTATGAACTCACCACGTCTCCCCCTACCTAAGGGTTAATTAGTAAGATTTGTATCACTGAATCATTATTATTTATTTTTTAAATTCTTATAATCTAAAATATTTTCCGGCTTTACATAAACTGCAAAGGATTGATAAGCCGTAGAAAACGAATCAACCAATGAAATACTGATTAGCTACACATATCGTGACCATAAAGTGAGGGATCAGTTCATATAATGATGATGATATAGAATTGATCCCCCATTTTATATCCACATTATAATTTCTGGTTAATCAAATTCTGATTAAGTATTGTATCCACCGTTTCTCCCCACCAAGTTATTATCTAAAAAAAAAAAATCTAAAAACCATTATTTTCTAAAAAAAAAAAAAATCTTCTAATCTAAAAATATTTTCTGGCTTTAAATAACCTGCAAAAGGTTGATATGTCATCGAACACAAATCAATCTATCAATGAAATATTGATTAGCCACACAAGATGTCTTTTAGATTTATTTACATTCTCTGGGATATAAATATAGAGAAACTACCATGGTCGTAAAGGGAGGGATTGATGGTAATATATAATTAATCCAACCACTTTATATTCACATTATAATTTCTGGTTAATCAAATTTTTATTAAGTATTGTATCCACCGATTCTCCCCACCAAGTTATGAGTTACATAGACATGTATCACTAAACCATTATCATCTCAAAAAAAAAAAAAAAGAAGAAAATATCTTCCAATCTAAAAATATTTTCTGGCTTCAAATAACCTGCAAGAGGTTGATAAGCCATAAAAAAACGAATCAATCATATTTGTCAAAATGAATTTGAATGAAAATTTAACAAGTATTCAACGTTCACAGTATGTTCTGCCACTTACTTCCGGTTTAAGTCGGAAATGACGTCTGGATAGTAGCTCAATTCGTCAGTGCCAGCAGTATATGCCCAGTTGTCATACTCCCGGAAGTTGCCATCGGGAGGGTATGCACCTGCAGGTGGAATATCATTCGATGACCGGAAGTGGCCATGGTATGGAGTCATTTGGGTATGGGAAGCAGGAAGCTCAGAATTCTGGGACTTTGCCCTGGAAAGAAAAAGAAAAAAATGATTTATTTTTAATATCTTATTCACAGTTAAACCACGTTGTTTTGTATAGTTAAATAAATACAACACTCATTGTTACTATGTTTTTTCTTCCTTTTTTTAAATTACCTTTCACTTCTGTTTGGCTAAAGGCTAGGGTGTATAAACTGTCTGCAGTTGAGTGATGTCCAGAGTGCTTGATTTAGTGAATCAAGTAGAAGTCGTTGAAAGTGGGACATTGTGAAGGACTGGGGTTAATACGATTCAAGTAGTTATATATTCACGCGCCCCCATATATATATATATATTGATGCATGTTTCATTAAATAATATAGACAAGTTTTGTCTATTTATTTTAAGTAAGTTCCTTTCATATTGTCTGATAAGCTTAATAACATTATCATTGAAAGACGAAAGGAAATTACTATATTGATACATGTTTTAATCCTTTTTTAATGTTTTTTATTCGAGAAAAAGAGGAAGTAATCTACTATTTAAAATTAAAATACTCGTTCACTCGCTAGGTGTTTACCATCACCCGAAGAGACACATTTGTAGTGTTGAAACATAATTGTAATTGTGTAGCGATTTTTTACTTTTAATATCCTAAAATAAATTATATATATATATATATATATATATATATATATATATATATATATATATATGCGCTCCAATTTTTTTTAAATATTTCCTTTTCTGAAAGAAATACTTCTTTCCTAAGCCAACATATATGACTATAAGAATTTAACAAAATTAAAAGGAAACGGTAAAATTCTATTATTTAAAATATATAATACATAATTAATTTCTAAAACGAAAAGAATATAAATAATAACTATTTTATTAAAAAACAACTATAATAACAATATTTACTCGCTTTTGTTTATCAACATTAAATTATATCACTTAGCATCATCTATAATTTAACTTGAATTAATTAGTGTGTATAAATACTTGTTGCAAAATAAATTTCTAAGATGGATGAAATGGAACAGATCCTCAGTAAATTTAATGAGCGACCTAGGAATGTAAAGGTTATATGTCAGTCTATCTATAAAGAACGTCTACACAAACGTCATCGAACCAATCTTCAGAAACACCAACATACAGATTGGCCATTCTGGTAATTTGTGTGTTTGTGCGTGTTTCTGTTTCTGAAAGTCTTTATTAATGTGTCCCTGTGTGTGTATTTGCGTGCTTACTTTTTAACCGTTCCGCTTTTCTTTGACTGGACCAGGAGACAAACCAATACAATTATGATGATGATCAGACCAAATGCTGCAACCCCAGCCAGGACACCAATCGTTAATTTGGTTGACATCGGCAACCCTTGCACTAAACAAGAAATAAAAATTAAATTAAAATTAAAAATAAACATGAGAAACAGAAAATTGTTTCAATTGTGGTCATCCATACATACATTTAAACCATCACCATCGTGTAGAAATCGTCATTTAGGCGGGATTTTTTTATGACACAGTAACCAATACCAGTAAACCTAAAATATCCTACAAATGTCTTTTATATTCTCTTAAAATATCAAATGATCTCCATTGCCGGCATACAATGTCGGCATACAGTATACATATAGACTAACTTTCTGTCCTGGAGTAACAAGGTACATCACAAGTTTCACGTACGATTTAATATTCAAGTCTTTTTTCACTGCTCATTTGATTGTCATAGCTGAAACTTCTCTCTCACGTGCCAAACGTCTTATCAATCTAGTTGGATCTTTTCTAATTGATCTTTTTAGCTCTAAGTTGAAATGAGGATCTCTCTTCCTGTTGGGAACTCCTGATCCAGTTTTCCTCTCTACTGTTCCATCTTTTTAAAACTTATTCACTATTCTCTTGATGGTTTTTGAATGGATTTTGAAGATGGAAGCCAGAGTATGAATATTTCTATAATTACTGAAGGCCTGGATGATCTTTTTCCTCTCACCATTGAGAAGACAGTGAGGCTGACACAGAACGATTTTAACCTGTTCGCTTTTTAGCTGAATAACTCAAATGGTTTTGCAGTGATTTTTACTAAAAATGGTGTCAAGATGGCTAAAAGCCTTAACTGAAAACCTGGAAAAAAGAAACTCAATTAGGTTAGTGACTTTTTAGATTTTAAACATTTTGTTGGATGGAGAATTATGCTGTTTCATGATTTGGACAATTTTGTTGTTACACCCAATATATATATATATATATATATATATATATATATATATATATATATATATATATATGTGTGTGTGTATTTCTATCACACACACACACACACACACACACACACATATATATATATATATATATATATATTATGCAATGGAGAAAATACGACAATTATTTTAAGACATTTTGCTTTTAAAATGATTGTCGGACTTTGTCCATTTCATAATGTGTGACGTCAAAGGGTCCATGTAGTTTGGGCAGCACATGGCCTCTGTATTCAGTCTAAGAGGTCTTGCCTCTTTCACATCTGAGAGGAGGGACGGGGTAACCTCAATATCCTTTGGTGCAAAATGAACAGGCAAGCAATTGCATTAATATGCCTTGAATGTCACAATGAAACACAATTGTGCGCTAACTGAATAATGGAATGTAAATGCCTACCTATGAGAAACAAAAACCCCTAACATTTTCGCTTTCTTAAACTCTTAGTTCAGGATTTATGCTCTCTTGAAATTTGGTATCAATCTTAGCTGATTTCAAAATAACACGATTTGCCAACATTGGCACTTCATAACTTTGTCTTGTAAGAAGAGGATATTTGGTAATCATATAGTCTAATACATACTGAAAAGAGTTCTGTTTTTATTTTATCTCTATTTTCTATAGTATTATAGTTATATGCTGGAGATAATGAGAAAAATTGCTATTTTCCGGGTTATTTCGTAGAGGGGAGGTGGTATGTTGTCATCCATAGAATCTAAATCATTAGCAATAGAATAAAAACTAAAGTTGATTATAATCATCTGATGACTTACCACGTAAGAAACTTTGAAATATTTGCTTTAAAAGTTACATGATTCCTAGATAACGAAAACTTGCAATTACGACTTCGAAAAGATCACATTTTAGGCCTTTTTTATTTTTATTTTTTGAAATCTTGGCAGGTAGCGTAGACTGTTGAATCCAGGTTTAATCGTTTACTCAGTTATTGATCAATCGCTTATAATTTTATAATTCACTCATGAAAATAAAAAAAAAAAACTTTATTCGAAGCTAACTTAGTAAATACGCCATCAAAAAACATACATCCAATGAAATATTTTGTTTTAAAATTCAAACCTATTAAAACCAGTAGAATCTATGGTACAACGAATTTAATATATTTCTGTTAAGTTTCAATCATTTACTGACTGATTTTGAAGTCCTTTCAGTCTCCAGCCTCCGCTCCATCTCCCACTCCAATCCAAAAAACTGGAATACGCTCTTCTCCATACTCCGTTCTTTATATTTTAAGTGTCACTCTATCTCTTTAAATAGGATTTCCTTACTTCATTTATGATATATATTTATCGCCATAGTCCGGATCACAGAGTCATTGTAAACTTCACGATCATATCCTTAGCTGCATAGTATGTGCTTCGCCAAGGCTACACACGATTTTGAATTCATAGTCTCCTTCCCCTAGACTGGTTGCCACTCAAGGCTGAAGAGCAGAGTCAGCCCTATTATTTACCCATAGTTAGAAATCTTGTATTCAGAGTTATCCTTCAAGATTGGTTGCCATCCAGGACCCAGTCTGCCTTGCTATTTACTCATAGCTGCTTGAAGAGTGGTGTGTGGGGAGAAATGGATTCACACCTCACCCAATGGTATTTTCAAATAAGTGAATGTAACAAACTCGACTGGAATTCGAACTCGGCATTTCCCAACCCAAGGTGCTATCCATTACTCCAGCATGCCTCCACCTATAAAGTCTGTCTGAAAAGTAACGGGACGGAGTGTGCAACGTGAGCTATGAGCATCATCTACAGTGAGTTCTTGTCATAGGTCAAACGACCATTCAACAAGTCTACAAAAAAGTCCTACGGCGTTTGCTTTGCTCGGTACACGCGACGAGAACTGTGTCAGGACAAATCGTAGCTTCACCGTGACAACGCACCTGCTCACAACACTCTGATCATCCGGCAGTTCCTGGCCGAGAAGAACATCGCCGTACGGGAACAACTTCCCTGTTCACCTGATCTTGCACCGTGTGACTTTTTCGTTTTGGTTAAATAAAAATAAAATGTAAAATAAGAATAATAATGAAAATCATAAATAAAATAAAATAAAACAATAATATTTAAACCTTATTTAAAATAAATTAAATAAAAAAAAAATTACTCTCAGCATGCAACAAAAACTGTTCCTGTCGGAAATACGGGCATCCGCCAAAAAACGTTATATTCAATCTCCTCGCTCAAGAACCACCAGGAAGACAACACGTGTGTAACTTCTCTCTGTAATATGGTTTGTAATATTACTTAGTAAATTGCTAACTTTTATAACATGAACTTTATCAAAATTGCAACGTAAAATACACACACACAAATACATAAATAAAATTGTAGGAAATTATCATACAATTTGTTATGCCTTTTCTGTATTGTGTACATATACTTTTCCTGTTTTTACCTTCATAAAAACAAGCCTAAAATTCTACTACCACTAGCCCTATGGTGTGAGTGAATACCCAACCAGATACACTCAGGTCATTAATACGAATGAAAATATCACTCAAATAGACTAGCATTTGATTGAATTCTTGTGGTTCCATTTCTCTAAGCAGATCGTCATGTTCCTTCAGAAAAGCTTTGATTTCTTCTTGTAATCCAAAGAAGCACTTTGAAGATCTCCAACATGACAGCCAGCAGACTTCTGTATGGAAAACCAAAACCGAATGCTCACTTCCAAATAAATAAAATAAAATAATAAGTAAATATAAAATAAAATATAAAATAATAATGAAAATTATAAACAGAAAAAACCCATAATATTTAAACCTTGTTTAAAAGAATTAAATTAAAAATAAAAATAATAAAATTACACCCAGCATGCAACAAAAAACGGTTCCTGCCGGAAATACAGACATCTCGCCAAAAGACGTTATATTTAATCTCTTCGCTCAAGAGCCGTTGGCTAGACAACACGTGTGTAACTTCACTCTGTGATTTGACTCTAATATTACGGGGTGAATTGCTCCCTTTCATAACATGTAACATAATACAATTGTAACGTAAAAAATACACTCAACTATACATATAATTAAAATTGTATCAAATTAATATACAATTTACTATTCTTTTTCTGTACTATGTTCGTTTAGTTTTCTGTTTTTTAATCAGGTGAAAACTAGCCTAAAATTCCTACCACTATGGTGTGAGTGATTACTCCACAATACAAAGCATTTTACCTATTTTTGTGAATACGTTCTTAAGTATGGAATAATGAAAGTTCTTTTTTCATAAGTTCGGCTTGTGGTATCAGACGGGAGGAACAGACGGGAGCATGTTCACTTGTTGGAGGCCAAGAAAGGACAAGAGACCTACATCTCACACTGAGGCAGCAGAGAGACTGGAAGCGACTGGACCGTCCTGAGACCAATCCGAACCTCCCACACATATAGGGTTCGGCACTCTACTAATCCTCGTACTATGTCTATGTTCTGACTAGCGTGTGAGTGTGTGCATTTTTTTTTAATCGAGTTCATTCCAAGCAAGGTAGTAAAGCCACTAAGCCACAAGGGGGTTACTGGGTGTGGAAGAATTAGAAAACAGAAGGACCAAGAACAAAAGAAGAGTGATCAGAAGAAAAGTAGATAACGGTTGACATTGCATTAAAATTTTTGAAGATTAAAGTTGACTGGAAAACATGGAACCAGAAGTGACTTCCACACGCAAGAAGTGCGATAAAAAAGCCCCATTAGCATAGAACTTGTGGCTACATCTAGCTAACTCAACTATAAATCGATGAGACCTCGTCACCACTCTAGACAGTGCTTAAATTTTAAAAAAGCCTTGTTACCATAGCGAAATCTCATCCGAACAATTAACATCATCTTTTTCAAACTTTCAGTAAACAACCCACTTTCAATTAGCAAAAAAAAAAAAAAATAAATATCTTTTATGGGCAAATCGCTTTTTGTCAGAAAATTGTAAATTAACACGTTTCTGCCAGGTAAATAGCTGTCTTTTATCAGCAATCGGCCCTCTTTCTCGTCATCAAAGAACTTCCTTTCTACCAGCAGAGAGTCCGCTCTTTTTCCTGTCAGCAAAATGTCCTCTTTTTGATAGCAATGATCCCGCTTGCTAGCCTACAAGAACACTTTATTGTCAGCAAACAGTCTTCTTCCTGCCTAGAGTGATCCCTCTTTCTATCAGTCTCTTTTTTTTTATCTCAGCAAAGAAGCCTCTTTCACTCAACAAAAAGCCCTTTTGTTTTCAAGATGCCCTCTTTCTCAACGTCAACAACAAAATCATGCTATATAAAATGAAATACTTGTATAAAATGAAATGCTACCTGAAAATTAAGCTTGTGCAGATGTGGTTCATTAGTAGACGGAAATATCCATTTACTGAGACTTTGAACAAACAACAAAAATGAATAAAACACGTTAAACTAAGTAATGTAAAGCGGTAATGAGAACAGAATGTAGTGGAGTTGTACAACAGGTTTACTAACCCTTTGTAAGTTATTGGAAGATAAACACATAGAGGGTGTCCCCAAAATCCGACATCATTTCGCAGGTCGATAATTTTGGCAATTCTTGTTGAAACAACCTCAAATTTTCATAGAATGTATAGAAATAGATAGGGATTTTATAATTAATGTTTTATTTTTATTATATCAATGAGAATCTACCAGGGAGATGGATTGGGAGTGGTGGAGATGAAGACAATTTTCTGATGAAATGGCTGCTGCAGTCACCGGACCTGTCCCCGTGTGATTTCTTTTTATGGAGATATGTGAAGGGACTGGTCTATGTCCCTCTCTTCCTGCTAGAATTGATGGACTCAAGCAGAGAGTCAATTCCGCACTGGATAATGTTACCGGAGTCATCCTACGGCGTGTTTGGCAAGAGCTTAACTACCGACTTGATGTGTGCCGTGTCACAGGCGGTGCACGTATTGAACAGTTATAAAATCGGTCTTATAATAAACTTATGACGTTCAACACCTAAACTGTTCAATTTCATTGAGCTAGACTTAGGAGTTTTCAAGATAATTGCTTTTAAAATGATGTCATTTTTTTGGACACCCTGTATATTTGTCTGTAAGGATACTTTTTTCATTGCGAGTGAATATTTCATCAACATCTTTAGAGAAAAAATGATTTATCTAAGATAAAAGTCCTTTCCAGGAAACAAGATGGATTCATACATTTCCCATGGATATTTGTGCGTAAGTCAACGTAACGAACCCGACTGGAATTCGAACTCGGCTCTCCGCGTTCTCATTCCGAGCCGCCACCCTTTACATCACATGTGCATCCAAGTATGAAACATCAAAGCGAATAATGTAATGCCATACAAAGAACAAAAGGACTTACTTGTGTTGTTGCCAGCATCCTCCAGCAACGTCGGGTCAAGGGTTGAATTCATTATTCGGCTGAGTTAAATATCACGCCTGATCAAATGTAAAGACTGCAATTCAATAAATATATAAATAAATAATAGCGTTGAAGATTATATTTCGGGAAAATTAAATAAAATCGTAAATATAATAATAATAATGAATAATGTTCTACTTGGTTTCGTCAAACACCGTTAGATGGCGCTGTTTAAGTCTATAAAAAGACAAACATTTCCTGCCTCACTCTCTTTCATATCTTTTCTCCAAGATGTAGCTGTATGGTAGTATGTGGAAAACGGACAGATACTCTGGGGCACACTAGTTTCTCCAATCCACTGACTACTGAACATTTTTCCACTTTCTCACTCATGGCGTTCGCACGTGTTCTCCAAAACCTCACCTTATGAATAAATCTACCTTTTCATTAGTCGTTCCAACTCTGCGCAAGGCTGACTTGAGATCGAACATTATAATAATGCCAATCCTTACTTACACCATCTTCTAGATCATGGGTCGGCAACTCATTCGACTCCGCGGGCCGGATCTTGTTATAATGACGCGTCACGGGTCGCGGGCCGGACGAAGGCCATTAATGAAAAATTAAGGAAAATTACATATGCAGATCCCTGTCAACCTAAATATTTAAAACCATAATGAAAATAAAGATTGAGAAATCAGAAAAACAAAAGAAAATCTAAAATTAAAAAACACCTAACAAAAATTATTTTTCCTCAAGGAAGGTCAAAATACTTCAAAGTGAAAAAAATCAACCGAAGTGAAATGGATGAAATTATGACGTGTAGGTTTGAAACTGTTATTGAAAATTGTTCCACAAACGAACCGCACACACACACATCAAACAAAAACGAAGCACATATACCCATACATACGAGTACAAATAGTTGCAAACATATACACTTACGTACGTACACATGCGGTATCATCCACACATTCATGAGGCATGTATGTATAATGCGCGTATGTTTAACTGTCTTTAGATTTCTGCTACTTCGCATGTCAGTCCCTCCCTGGCCTCTTTCACTTTATCGTTCCTTTCGCTTCTGTTATCTTTTAATGTAGCCAAGGGTCATGACAAATATGTATCCATTATTTGACATTAAACGCAACTTGGTAAAATAAGTCTCATGAAAGATAACTGGCAGATAGTCTAATATTTTTAGTACACTGAGATATGTAGACATTCTATGGAAAATGACATATAACAAATTTCATTTCAAAGTCGTCTGTCATGTTAAAAATAGAGTCATTGGTAATCAGGCTCGCGGGCCAGTCAAAATACCTTCGCGAGCCGGATCCGGCCCGCGGGCCGTAAGTTGCCGACCCTTGTTCTAGACCAAGAAAAATCTAGAGGTGATGTAGCAAAACTGTTCAGAAATTTGAATTTGGCGCATCAAAATTAATATTAGTAGTAGTATGAATCCGTTTATTTCGCGAGATAAAAGTAGCACCCTGTTTGGTCAAAATTCAGTCCTTTGGTTGTGAAACTGGAATGACCTCTCCAGGACGCGGTATGGTATAGGGAGGCCGTGCGCAGCCCAGACTATATGCCCCGGTCTCGGCTGTACTAAAAAGATCCAAAGGAATACAGAGCCTTATATTTGGGGACGGCTTAGCTGCAGGAGTTGCCGGAAAATTGTCAGTGTTCACAGCCAACCGCATTCGGGACTCTACTCCGAGTTTTATGTCTGGATTTACATCCATAGTCTTTTCCTTGTTTGGATATGACCGCAAGGCAGCGGATATTTAAAATTAGGTTTTGCTTCCAGTAGACGGACTGTTTTCCTGGGCTATTGAGCTCCATCTACCTGAAGCAGCTGGTCATGAGGCGTCAGTTTTCCGCCTTCACCCATTCTCCGGCTTGGAGCTGGACTTAGTTGTAAGAGGCTAGTTGAAACGCATGCAACGGAAGTATTGAGAGTGTGAGCTTGACCCCACCATCACCCCCGGTTACGACAACCTTTGATTGGTTTGGTTTGGTTTGTTTTATGGCATATCAGCCTCAATTTAATGCCGACAATTTTTATTGCTGGTAATTTTTTTTCCAAAATATTTCTAGTAATATCTTTTTTTCCTAAAATTAATTGCTGGTAATAATTTTTTACAAAGTATTTCCGGTATTAAAACCTATTTTTACGCTTTCATGGTGTTTTGACCCTAGTTTGAGGGGTTAACTATTTACCTATGGCTGGGACCCTAACAGGTGCTACCACCCTGCGTCAGGGTGGACCTGGGAACACCAGCAATTAAGAGGTGGTTCCACGCTCCCCAAAACCTCCTGATTAGAGGCCTTGATGTTGGACGTAGTTTATCGTCTTACCCAGAACGGGACAACCTTTGAAACATATATAATATACGTATATAATCATTATATATATTACGTTTTTTAGAAACTAAAAAAAATATAATGTATAAGGATTCGAACCTGCGTTTCATGCGGGGAAAACAGCTATAGGATGTGCCATACCTTGACCTCTCAGCCCCATACGACTTCCTGATTAAACAAAGCCCGAATAGTGCCTTTGAATATACATTTTCCCGATTCTCGAAATATACATGTCTGTTTTCTTGGATTGTAACTTAAAGACAATTTTATAGGAAATAGATTAAATCTGACAGTTTTCTTTAAAATTTATTTGTTTTAAACGTTATTTTTAAATGAATACTCATATTTGAGTAGATCCTCTGTTTTTATTTATTAAACAGTAGAATTATTTATTTACATCTACCTACCTGAATATTCGAGAGATCTTGTTAGAAAAATATGGTTTGTTTGGTCGGGAGTGTCCTACGGGGTCTAAGACACGTCAGATCTAATGACGGTTTCTCCTAAATCAATGTGTTTTTCACCGGAAAAGATGTTAGAATTTCCTTTACCAATTTATGGTCATTCGTTGACGAAAAAAAAAAAAGAGAAAATTAACCAAAATTTTGAAAGTTCTAACAAGGGTCCGAAAATATGACTTGAAAATAAAAAAAAACGTTGCTCGTTCCTCTTAAGTATAACATAAAGATTTTAGATATATGTATATGTCGTACTCTACTTTAAATTAGATTTCTTTCTGATTCACTCCATACCAGATTGGAACGTTATGAAAGCAAAACGTTAAATAAATTAATCGGTCTCTGCGCAGGCGCTCCGAGCATCGCATAAGCCGCCTCCCGAAATACAATTTAAACATCGGAGAAAATCATGAAGGTAGCTGCTAAAGCAAAAGCATGACAAATATATATGTATATATATATATATATATATATATATATATATATATATATATATATATATATATATAGACTCGTTTTCGAAAAAACCTCGAATTTTGATTTGCTAATCAAATCAATCTCGAGGGAAAAAAGGTTTTAAAAAAAGAAAGAGCTACAAACATGAACGTCTGCCGAAAAAAATCGCACAGATGCAGGTCTGAAGCCCAAAGAAAAAACCCCGACACGAGTAAACAACTAACTAACAAAAGAGCTCAATACAACCGTAGAGCAGACCTAGATAAACCTAGTGAGCCAGACAAACCTACCTAGGTTTCACCTAAACGGATCGTCAGGGAAAGTTTGGCATTATTCGAACTGGTATCCTCACCTTGTCTGGCTCACTAGGTGTATCTATATATATATATATATATATATATATATATATATATATATATATATATATATATATATATGGAAATTTATTTATTTATTAAACAGTACATTTATTTATTTACATCTACCTACCTGAATATTTGAGAGATCTTGTTAGAAAAATATGCGTCCTAAGATTTAATGACGCTTTTCCCCAGGAGACGCAGGTTCGAATCCTGAGTCTTCCAGCAGCTACCCTCTTGAGACAGGGCAGCACTACCTCCTCAAGGCACTTGATGTAGGTCTCCGGGTTGAGTCTGATGCCCTGTGATCACTCCAAACACCTTCGTAATCACCATTAGACTCATCCAACTCTTTCCGAATCCTCTGTACTGTCCTCAGATTGACACCCAAACTCTCTGAAATATTCGTATTGGAACTTCCGGTGCGAATGTCAAGCAGCACAGCATGCCGTTTCTAAATTTTTGGCGGAATTAATTGCGTCATGTTGCTCTTTTTCTCCCAGACGATGACCAACTGTCCCTACTATATTGTACAATCGACAAAATCAAAAACACAACGCAAGCACGTAATTAGACATATAAAATCGAGACAATTTACCCATCGCACCCTGTACTTAATGAAAATTTCAAAAACATGAATTAATAAAAAAAAAAAAAAGATTTTAAATATGAAAGAGAAAGAAAGAAAATAAAATGGACAAAAAGATTTTACCGAAAAATAAATATTTTAGAAATTCTAAAGACCAGGAAGGAAGAGAAAGGAAATATATAGCGTGTATGGTGATTTCCTAAGCGTAGACGAACAAAACTTCTTGTATCATAAACTGAAGGCATGGATTATGGCAGTAGTCACCAACTTAAACAAGGAGACCGTCCAGAAGAGCTGCAGGAGATTCTGAAGCCGCCTGGAGGCCGTGGTTGAAGCCATTGTAGATTTTATTGAATAAATTTACTCTTTAGTATTTCAAGATATTTTTTGTGTAATTTTGGTAAATATACCTGTTAAAATGATATGCCAGTGTTATTTTCATGTTTGCGTCATTTAAACGACAATTTATCCATCGCGCCCAGTATGTCTGAAAATTTCCAGCTGCATTTTCCCAGAAATAAAGATCGAATGCACTGTTAAAAATTGGCATTTCGCTGGAAACTTTTACACACACACACACACACACACACACACCTAATAGTTCGCGCTGTCTCCTTCCTTCTTTTGTTCGTTCCTCTTCAGGTGTCAGCGCTGTGATATTTCCCGCGTGTCAAACAAAATACTTTTAGCATTAGTAATCTCTTCAAAAATCAACAGAAAAAAAAAACCTCTTGTTAGTTCAAAAGAAATCACAGATGCTGGGTCAGGGAAAATATTTTTACGGTATTGTTAAAATAACGAGCCGTCTTTCTTGAAAATATGT